TATCAAAATAGATTTAAGGTGCTCCGTTATATTGCAGTATTTTATCTTCGGATTTCCAAGTTAAATGTACTGAGATTGTGCACCCTGGTGATTATTTGACGTTGAAGGCAATAACGCGTTTTCTAAAGATTTCATCAATGTAGTGCTTAGGGTTTCAATATGTCTGTAATATAAGTAGTTTGGTAGGAAAACAAATCGATTAAATCTTAAATGACTCCCACGAAGACTACAAAAACTGAAGTAGAAATGGTGATACGAAATAGAAAAACTGTTATGAAAGAGGGGATTATGACAATGTCGGGCATCGGTGAACCTTCAGTCTTCCACGCTTTGGTTGTCATCTTTTTGGAGTTCTTCGCATGGGGCTTGCTAACAATGCCGATAATATCCGTGCTGAACGCTACTTTCCCGGACCATACCTTTCTGATGAACGGACTCATAATGGGAATCAAGGGCATTCTATCATTCCTGTCAGCGCCTCTCATCGGAGCCCTATCCGACGTGTGGGGCCGCAAGTTCTTCCTACTGGTCACGGTGTTCTTCACGTGCGCGCCAATCCCGCTCATGACCATAAACACTTGGTGGTTTTTTGCGATGATCAGTATTAGCGGAGTGTTTGCTGTGACTTTTTCTATTGTGTTCGCGTACGTGGCTGATGTAACAACAGAGGCGGAGCGCTCGCGAGCTTACGGCCTAGTGTCTGCGACCTTTGCAGCTAGCATGGTCATATCGCCCGCTCTCGGCGCCTATCTCATGGATTTATACGGCGAAGCGTTGGTTGTAGCCGCCGCTACGGCAGTTGCGGTATTGGATGTGTTCTTCATAATGGTAGCGGTGCCTGAGAGCCTGCCAGAGAAAGTGAGACCGAGTGGTTGGGGACCTGCTATAAGTTGGGAGCAGGCTGATCCATTTGCCGCTCTGAGGAAGGTCGGTGCCGAACGTACAGTGCTGATGTTGTGTGTGGCAGTGTTCCTCTCATATCTACCTGAAGCCGGACAGTATTCTTGCATATTTGTGTATTTAAAATTAGTAATGGGCTTTGGTGTAGTACAAGTGGCTATATTCATAGCAATTGTTGGAGTACTCAGCATAGCGGTACAAGTAGTGCTTGGATTTTTAATGCGGTCACTTGGAGCAAAACATACAATTATGGTGGGACTCTTATTTGAAATGCTTCAGCTCATGTGGTACGGATTTGGAAGTCGCACATGGATGATGTGGGCAGCAGGAGTGCTTGCAGCTCTTGGATCTCTGACATACCCGGCGATCAGTGCATATGTGTCGGTGAACAGTCGGGCAGACCGCCAGGGTGTCGTACAAGGAATGGTTACTGGAGTAAGAGGACTTTGTAATGGTCTTGGACCAGCAATGTTTGGAGTGATATTCTATTTATTCCATGTGGATCTCAATGAGGAACATGCGGTGACTGGCTTAGATGGAAAGCCAGAGGAGAAATATGTAAGATTGGTGCCAGGTCCACCCTTTGTATTGGGAGCACTGCTCGTGATTTGCGCGCTCCTCGTAGCGGCCTTTCTACCTGAAGATGGCACTGTTGGCAGTGGACGACGGGCTCCGGCAGACCTGAAGTTCGAAGTGGAGAGGGGCCGTCGCGTGGCGGGCCCCCTGTCCCCGCTGATGGCCCCGGAGTCAGCGGCCCTCTAGCTAGCGGCGAAGGCCGGTAGAGCGGCCAGTGTGTGACTCCCAGAGCTGCCTGCGCCCAACCGGCGCCAGAGCGAATGCATTTAGGATGGTACCAAAGCAAACTCAGTGAGTGAAGTGAGTCCCATATTCTATGATTCTTGCACGAAGTACGTTGACTACATTCCCGCGTATCACATGTTTCGTTCCGCTTAAATGGAAACATTCATTGTTAACTTTGTACTATTTTTTATTAATTTTCGCTGTTGAGGGCATGTACATAATTGTAATAAATAATAGAATCACAGTACAAGTCCTCTCTTTCGTATTTGAGCTTAACATCACACAATATTAATATAAAACCCTGCATTTACATCGAAACCTATCATTCTTGTCATATTCCTGATGTCTATAGGTCAGAATTGCATTGACAAAGGCACATAGTGCCAACATGCTAACATTTATTTTAAGATACCATTACATGTGGTTATCTTAGTATACTTAGAAATAAGTCTTGCAGTTAAAATAATGAAACCATTAACTTAATTGTATAATGAAATTCATAATTAAAATATAATAAGGTTTACTATGATAAGTAATTGAACAAGTCATTAGGAATAGTTATTTTGAGTAGTTTATAAGCTGCCTATCTCCACTACAACACAAATTTGCATTTTTAATCCAAAAATGTTTGCAACAATCAAGTAATCATATAAACAGTAACAACTAAAGAATTTCATGAAGAGATAAAATATAAAATTATTATTGACCAATGTGTTTTTAATAATTAAAGAAGAAACAAACTGATTCATAAAAGTAGATTCAAAATTAGCATTACAAGATTATTAAAAAAACCAATATGTCAAATATGAGTTAATATTGCTCACCCTCAAAAATAAAAAAACAAGTCTTAGAGGACTGGTTTGCATCAAAAATCGATATTCCAAAGAGGAAAATAACATATAAAACAAACATTTATTATAGTACATATAAAAAGTTTTGTAGACTTAAATTTCTAACACATTGATAGATCTAAGAGAGAGGTGAGAATAAATTAATTTGGTCCAGTAGCCACTGGCCTCATTTCTGTCTATTTTAATTCACTCAATTGTTTTATGGCATCATATGAACATTCTGGCTATATACACTTTTATCAATTAACTTTTTTTTCTTAAATGCTATATAGAAATACCATAGACCAAGAGCCAAAACAAACAAAATATATTCTAGACAACCAAACATTGCAAAGTAACCAATGACAAGCAATTTCTAGATAAAAATCCAACCTGGGACTTCTGTACTTGTAAATCTGATTATTTTTCAACCAGACAACAACATTAAAAATCATATAAATGCAAAAGTTTGGATGGATGTTAGTTACTATGTAACTTCAAAACTACTTAGCAGTAATCTAAAGGCATAGGAATGGAACATACACTTGAAGAACTCATAGTTTGTCTTTACTTCTAAAGTCGCTTTAGTCCCTTTCCCTTCTCACCCTTTGTGGATGGAAGGATAGGAAGAGAACGTGGATTTGTCGGTGCATGAGACGCATAGGACGGGGAAATATCCTCTTCATGTGCGTCTCCTCCACCGATTAAGGGTAGGCATCCGCTATTGCGAATAACTATGGGAGGCAGTCGCTTTGCCATTTTGGCGCATTCAGGTGGCCGCTTGCTCGTTTGCCACCTTATGATATAAAAAAAGTCGCGGCCGAAAGCTATATTCAAAAATTCAATTTGAGTAAAAATGCAAAGTTATAAATTCATACACGTTTCGTGGAACGTTTATGTATTAAGGCATTAGTCACATAAAATTTAATCTTTATAGAACGTGTTTGACGGTAATTTAATTGCGTGCGGTGACGTAACGTCTTGTATTTGTTGGTAACAATGAATACACTTGTATAGTTCGATATACTTCAAACTGATAAGGATTAAAATTAATTTGATAAGTGTGATAAACATAAAAACGACAATCATCATTTTTATAAATTCCACGCGGAAGGTGTCGCGGGCGATAGCTAGTCACATATTAAGCTTATATTGTTCGATTAAAAGTCAATCGTAATTAAATCAACAAATTTGTATTAAAACTTTGTCTCTGGTTTCTTTTAAAATATCCAAAGAGATAACCATTTTTGAAACTACTTTTTCGACAGTGGAAACTAATAGTAGTACGTTGCAAACGATTGTTTTTCAAATAAACAAAACCCTAATGGTCCCCTCCTCCCTAGTCATTAACATTTTTATTGGAATCCCAAAATGTTTCGCGTTCGTAACATCTTTGCCTATCATTAGCCTATTTTTGGGCAATTTGCCCAAAAGCGATGTCAAGTTCAGGCCATTCTATCCTCTATTATTTTTACTTTTCTTCTTCTTAATAACGATTTTGTCCATCTTATCATAAAGTAAGATAATTCTAACTAAAGCAATGAAGAGTATTGTACTGAAAGAAATTGATTTTTTAATCCACCGCGCTATTTTCACAGCGCTATGACTAAGCTAGCCAACAATAGCTGTATCGCTTTGTTACAAACACGCATTGCATTGTTTATTGTATTTATATATAATTGCAGCTTCCGTACGTTTGTATGCGATTCGAAAATTATTTATTCAGTCGATATGAATTTTCATAGTAAATTTTATACGAAAGCATCTATTTACCTGCTTAACAACCAATCGGAATTTCAGAATGTATGCCTTCGAAAACACTATAGCTAAACAATTTCTAACGATGTAAAATAGTTCCTAATAGCAGGAAAAAAACCCGAGTAAATCAATAATTATTTATCTACCTATTCCAAATCAAAGTTAAGTTACAAACATCCATATGTCCGGACTTTCACTTTTGTTATCTATACTATTATAATAAAGCGTAAACACACAGTTCTATGTTGCCTAAGATGTCAGCAATCACAGCATATTTTTTAAATAGTACTTTTTTTAATAAAAAGCCCTACACTTTTGTCACGCTTTAGGCTATATATTTTCACGCCGTTAAACTTAGGGGTAAATATTTTGGATAAAAATCCTAATGTGAGAAAGAGACCATAAGTTGCTGCCAACATCAAGGAAGCAATTGTCATTTGAACTTTGATATTTCATGTGGATGAAGCCGCACTGGAACAGCTAGTTATTAATAATGACCGAAAATTATTAATAATTTTCAATTAATAATATATAAATCATACTTCATGCGAATATTATAAATGCGAAAATTTAGTTGGATGGATGGATGTTTGTTAGAATTTGAAGCCTAAACGGCTGAACGGATTTCGATGAAATTTGGTACAGATGTAGAGGATAATCTGGAAGAACACGTAGGCTACTTTTGTTTGTTTTTTTTTTTACGCAGACGAAAGCTTGTTATTTTAAAAGTCGAATACGTATCGAACAGTAATTAGGCTGTAAGTCTCCATATGCCTAAATTGTTGATAAAAAAAAACAATTAGTAATTCCGTTATCGTGGCAATTATCGCGTCAAAGGAAGCAAATACTTATTGTCGGTGGCTTCTACGAACTAATTTTGTTATCGCGCGATACCGTGTATATTCAGTTTGCAAACATGCGTACTAACAGCTGTCTTAAACGTTATCACATCTTTAACTGTATTTAAGTTTTTGAATGACATCACGGAAAATTTACAATAAAAGTCTTATTAAACGTATTGAACGATTCTACAAAGTAACAAATAGAATACACTGATGACGTCATAACGCCTGCAGGAAAAATCTTCTGTTGCGCAGAGTTGTTTTATGGTAACCGTGTAGTCCTTTAGTGTAGATTTATTATGACTACGCTAAGAGACTGCACTTGTAACTGTTATTCGATACTACGTGAGGTGATTATCTTCTAAACCACATCTAAATGACTTACCTTTTATCTTAAAACCTTCTTATGTGTTCCTTGGATCAGGAGTACCAAAATGACCAATGGTATTTAGTCTACCTTTCTTAATATTTAGGAAAGGAAAATGTTGATATGCTTAATCTTTATTAAAAACAAATTAAACATACAATTATCTCTATTAATTTAAAGTAAAAGAAAAGGACGTCGATATCTTGTAGAGGATGTTTTTGGTTTCCAACTAACGTTATATTTTTACGACAGCCTTGTCCAATTGACATTTAGCCGTGACCTAGAAGATGTTTTACAAATTCGATCTCTAATTGTATATAGATGCGAACTCTTTATTGTCCTAGCAACTACAGAAATGTTTTAAATCTCAAAGAATAATTGAAAACCTACTGTAATTGAAGATGACATTCATAACCTAGAAACAAAGCCCCATAGAGTCAGAATATGCGAATGCATTTACGCACGAAAAAAAAAAATTGAGCCTAAAACCTCGTCTAAATAATAGTTTCTCGAAATAAAATAAAAACTAGCTGACCAATATCGAAATATTTTTTTATTTACACAACTCTAAAAATTATACGGGTGATTAGTTGATAAATTTCGGTTTTGCCCACAATAAAATGATTCTGCTAGTAACGTACTCGCTTTAACCTTGTTTAAATATTCAAGAATTTTCAACAGCTAATTACAACTTGGAAGATTTCGTTTGGCTTGGGTTTGTAATTAAAATTACAAGTTTACGGTAAGACGTAACATTATTTAGGCTTTTGAGGTTATTTTCTTATTGGCATTGCAAAGAAATTTAAAAAGCATTGAAAATTGATCTCTCTTGTCCAATATCTATCTAAAAATTATAAACAATGCTATGTAAATGATTAAAATGTAATATGATAATTAAAAAATATCTCTATTTAAGACTATAGTCGCTGATAGAAAAAAACAAACGTAAAGAGGACTTAAAATTAAAAATATCTATGTAAGATAATTTTAGCTTAAAATTGAAAAATAAAAGACCGTTACATTTTTTTCCTTAATATTTAGCCTCAAAGCGTTTTCTTCAACCTTCAGTCTATCCTCAATGAAGATGTGAGTCCGACCTTACTCTGTTTAAAGGACGTATTGTGAATACACGACAGAATATACTTCAATGAAAATGGCTGTCTTCGGGATTGATAGAAGCGTTCTTTCATAATAATATAAATGGTAATCTTATTAAAGAGGATAAAATAAATTGGAATATCTATATTATGGTTAAATCAACTTACTATCGATTGAATAAAAATTACCTAAACAGGAACGTTAAATGTCAAACATGGCGGCCATTATGTTTTAGATACTTTTAAGTTTTTGCGTATAAATTGTGAAGTAATTAGGCTAGTTATTTCTCAGAACACAACCATGTGATTATGTATTTATATACTCTTTTCATCAGTTTTTAAATCAATATCTATACTAATATAATAAAGCGTAAACACACACTGTTTTGTTGCCTAAGATGTCAGCAATTACGGCATATTTTCGAATAACTGTTTCTTTAATCAAAAGCCCTACACTTACGTCACGCTTTAGGCTATATATTTTTTTTACGCCGTTAACCTTAGGGCTAAATATTTTGGATAAAAACCCTGATGTGGGAAAGAGACCATAAGTTGTTGCCAACATCAAGGAAGCAAGGTTGCCATGGTTTGACGTCATGTCATTTTGACATTTGCAGTTGATAATTTGACAAATGTGAGCAATAAAATGATTTTTTTTAAATTTCAGGCGGATGAAGTCGCATGGGAACAGCTAGTTTGTTAATAAACTTAAATAAAACTATCACGAACATACATCACGCTATAGTTAAATAAATCGTTTATCTTTAAACGTGAGCTGTAAATATTATATTGATAAGCACTATCAGAGCGTGTCTCAGTGACTCAGTCTTGCCACTTGATATATCGACGATTAAGTCATTAGCGGTGGCGATTTTAGTTGGAATCGCCATTACCTATTACATTTGCTTCTCGGTTTTTTTATCATCGTTAGGTAAAATTGAATGAGGCCTGTCCCACCAAATTGTAAAATTGTAAATTGACTGATAACAATCCAACTTCTAAAATA